CGTGGGTAAAAACCCCACCACTCAAACCCAGGACAAGGTCTTTTAACCCAAGTTGCTGTGGTTACCACAGCCACATTTTAGCATATCTTTCTTGCAAGAATGGGAAAGATCTTACTTTATACCATGGTAAAACGTGTAGTGCTTTCTGACACCCTTAGATTCAAGGCTTCTTGAGGGGCATTACTGAACTTCAGGGAGCATAAGCTCATGATTCTAGAACTACAAGTTCAAAGTTCAGTTCTGTAGTTATACAGAAGCATTTCAAAGACTATAAATCTCTGGAGCTTTGTGGAGCTGCCCAGACAGTCGAGCAGTTTCAACCATGCTATCACAGTGTATGTCTGTTACTCAGAAATAGCTGCAGAGATGAGTCTTATAAGACTTGTGAGCTAACTCAGCTGGTCTTTAGCTTAACCATGAACAATGTACTGATTATTCCAGGGAAGACAGGAGGGTGTGTATTTTGGCTTCTGGATAGACTTTCATAACAGCAAACATTACATTTAGCCCATATAAACAGCTACGGTAGCTGCAAGAAAAAAAGAGAACTATGATGACACTAGGGCAGAGGAGTAGTGTGTTTGACATGGACTTCAGCACAAGAAAAGAAATGGAGAATCCACTTCAACAGATCAATTCTGCTCATTCTTTTCCTTTCCTCTGAAGCCTGGGAGAGATGTTGTGCTTTGGCTCTTTTAGACTTGATGAAGCCACATATGCAATAGCTATGGTTTTGGAAAATTCCTGATGTTTTTTGAAGATGGTGTTATGTAATAGCAAATTTGAAGGCAGAGCTGAAGGAAGGGCGCGGAGGAAGCAGGGAAACAACAGACAGACTGCTCATCACAGGGAAGACTAGTACCTGACCTGGAATACTAGTACATTTCCAGTGGAGGTTGCATGCAGCACATTTTGGGGCCTGATCGTTAGGACAAACTTCTCCAGGGGACTCGCTCTCTTTAGGCAGTGCTACATTTCACTTTTTCCTGTTTTCTTTTATGAACTTTGTAAAGGTGATCAAGCATTAGATGAAAAAAGGCTTTCCTAAGGCATTTCATAACTTCTCTTACCTTCCAGGAGGTAGCCTGAAGCAATTTCAGCACAGCAGCTTCTTGTTCTGTAGTTACCCTCTCTCTCTTTCATATACCCAAGAGAATCGATCCTGCATTAAGAAAAGAAAAAAAGGGGGATTCCTATGATTCTTCCATCCAGACAAATTACTGAGATGACAAATATAGAAGGAAAAGTTTTCATCTTTCTCTTACAAACCTTCACATCATCTACTGTTTCAGCTCAGTCCCCAAAGCTTTTGCTTCTCTCTGACACATACTGAAATACTAATTTAATTCAACTTATACTGTCATGCAAAACCTTTGAGCTGACCTCTGTTAAACAACAATACTTGTCCAACTTTCCAAGCCCTCAGCGCCACTTTGAAGTCACAATCAAGGCTTTGTGTGATAAAGTAAGCTGGATGAGATTGGCTCTTTTAACTTTAGAAGTAATAGAAATGCCAACTTCATGGGGAATTTTTCTGTTCTCAACAATTCTTTTTCTTCCAATTTTCTGATAAGCAATTGCATTAATTCTGTGCTCAAAGCAAAAGTATCAAACAGCCTCAGTGAAAGCATCATGCCTGTCTCGGTCTGAATCAGACCTGATCATGCTTCGTTACCTTAGAACATGCAGTGTCTGTTGCTCTGTTAATATCCTCTTTGTGCATAAATTTTCATAAAAAGAGAAACCCAAGGTAGACAGCACATAAATACAAGGAGCATAAAAGCCTCAGAGCTCTTTTCAAAGTACAGGTAAAACAACAAAACAAAACAAAGCAAAAAATAAAATTAACAATATTCTTTTCTTCATTGGAGGTCACCTTACATGAAACTGTAGATAAGAGTCCAGTTCTTCAAATCTTCTTGAAATCACTGTAGTCCTACAAGCTTCTCTAGAATCACACTTATTTGTATCAGTAGAGATTTTGACTGCAAAGCAAATCTAAATGGCTTCACTCTGGAAACAAAACCCACCACAAGACCCTCACTACTGCAACATATACAGGTACGCAAATGGATGACCCACTAAGAGATACAGTATTCAAAGTCATTTCACCATGTACATTTTCAGTCAGACTTTAAAAAATGACATGGAGATTTCAAGGGAAGTCAAGACATTGGATTTTCACCTAGCCCACTAAAAAAGGGGAAGGTACATTTCCTCCAATTCAATTCTTGTTCAAGCAAATGCAAGAACCAATTCAGGGCTTTCCTTTTGGCTTTAACCTAAGCTCTGAGTGCCTCCTTTTCCTTCTGCATTTCTAAAGAAACAGAAGAACACAGAAATTCAACAGCACACACACAAACTGAAAGCCCCCGCCCTTCATACCAATGCTATGCACTGAAAACGCAGATCAAAATGTTAGCTGTCATTTTCTTGCCTCTTATCACTCTCAGTTCTTGAGCACCCACACACATCACTACGTGCTCCTCAGTACTGTAAAGAGGTAAGCTGATACAATGCGGTGAAGCACACTAGTTCAGATACTGAAAAGGAAGCTTGAGCTACTCTCTACCATGCTATTTTTACCAGCCAGCACAATTTGGCTGTACACATATAAACAGAGCTACAAAAAAATCTCTCCTGTGCAAGGTGCCATTTTTGATGCCCTGTCTGCTAACTGCACCTTCTCCACTGCTGCAAAGAGAAAGTACATGGCATTTGGCTGACGTTTCAACCTTAAACTGCTGTTAGAGAGGAGGCCCTCACAAGGAGTTAACGTAAAAGGATTCAGCAAAGAAACAGCAGTGTTTTACACTGTCACTCCTCCTCACCTCCACCAGGGAGTGCAGCCTAACCACTCTTGAGCATCCAGCCCGAAAAATCCCACTCTGTAAAGCAGCTGCGCTTCTACAATTCAGCAGCAGAAGCAAGACGCTGACTTGACAATGTGGTTGCAGCAAAGGACATTTTCACTAGATACAAGAAAAAAGTTCTTCCTGATGGGGGTGGTGGAGTGATGGGGCGGGAGCCCAGGCACAGCTGGGGAAGAGGTTTTCCAAATAGAGCTGGACAACCTCATCCAGCCTGGGAACAGTGAACCGGTGGAGCTTGGACTAGAGACCTCCAGAAGTCCTGTCCAGCTGAATTACTAGATATTATCAAAGACTGCACTCAACCTAATACAGAAAGAATCATTAAATACTTATCTGCATGAATGCATGCATTTTACATGTCTTTTGGCCTCAGCATTAATTTATTTTTTCCATTATAGTAGTGTCTAAGAAACCCACTCAAAGAGCAGAACTTTCCTACAGTAAGCTGCATGGAAGTGCACAAAGCATGCTGGTTATGATGAAAATGTTTAAGTAACTCCAGTGGACACAATTCAAGAAGAAACTGAGCTATCACAGCCAGCCCTGTATAAAGAACTGTGGAAAGAGCTGCTTAGTGCAGCTGAATTAAGCAAACTTACCATAGCCCCTAAGATGGTAGTGTCCTTCTTCAGCCACAGATATGCAAATAATGACACACTCATTCCTTCACTTCTATCTCCAGTGACTCAGACCTCCTGGGTCATCAGGGACAAGGATCCTGTTCTCCAGCCGATGGCAGAAGAGAGCCCAGCTCAGAGGTTTCCTTCCCTTCTTACTTGCAGAGAGAACTTCAGCAGCTTCACAGCATCCTCTGCTGCCAAAGAGCAGAATCAGATCAGAAATGAGGAAACAGACTTCGAGTGAGCATTATCGCTTTATGCAGACCTCACATACACACCCAAATCACCCTGCAATGAAAAGAGACGGATAACAAAGTCCTGATCCATATTAAGGACAAATTTCCTCGCCTTCCCCAGAGCCACTCTACAGGTACTACAGGTGCAAACCAGTCCCAAAATACCAGAACCTCAGAGTACAATCCTTGCAGGGCCCGGCTTTTGATGTAGCTGTTATTTTTCTCAGCCTAACCCTCATATGGATCCTCAATCAATGACAGGTTTAATAAATGTCATTACTTATTAGATAGTAATAGTATCCTTATTTTTAAAAATAACATTAAATTAGCTGTTTGATTTGAAAGAAAACCCTCATAGCTAGGTTCAGCACATCATCAACAGCTGTACTGTCACATGCTTGCTTGAGGAAAATTGTCATTTTATCTGCTCGATAAAATCTTTTTTCATTGTGCTGGTTGGTTTGTTGCACTGTCCCACTGTTGACACAGCTGAGAAAATAGAAAATAATTTTAAAGAATCTGGTGCCAACATTAGCACCAAGAAAAATCAAACTCTGAATCATAAGTTGGTGCTATGCAGTAGCTTCCAACATCTGGTTCTACATAACCCTTCTCTTTATTACTCTGAATTATTTTATTAGGAAAGAAAATGTGCTTTAGCTTTAGAAAGAACAAAGAAGGCATAAACATGTGCACTCGCAAATCCAAGCTAAATACTCCCATTGCACTAAACCGGTGGTGCCACAAACTAGTCAGGTTCTACAAAACCATTACTGCGACTATAAAACCCACAACGCCATACACAGGTGGGCAATTCCACTCAGCTCCTAGGATAGCTCAAGAAAATACATCTTTACTCCTATTCCAGCCACGCCTGTACAACCCTTTACCCACAGGCCGACCCTGCAGTCTCAAGCGGCCGCACTGGCGGAGCCCGGTTATTCGACACTAAGTACTTAGAAACATTTCACGGGCCCCAGGCCGGTTGCCCCCCTGTTCGGTTGCCCCCTGTCCCAACACCGCCCTGGGCGGGCTGCGGCACCCAAGCGCTCCCTCCACCGCCCCTCCCGGCCGCAGCGCAGCACCCCCACCCCCCCCCCCCCCCCCCCCACACACACACACACACACGGGGCGGGCAGCCAGGATGGGACGAACCCTCCCCTATAGACAGAGACCCACCTATAGAAACACACACATATAGACCGCGGGGAGCAGCCCGGCCCCGCCCCCGTCCCGTTTGTCCCCGCCCCCCGACGCGCTCGGCCCCGCCCCCCGCCCCGCCCCGCCCGCAGTTGTGGCGCTTGCGGCCGTCATGGCGCTGTCGGCGCAGCTGCTCCGCGGGGTCGCCCGCAGCTCGCCTGTCCTCGCCCTCTCCGGCACGGCGGGCCGGCGAGCGCTGGGCTCCGCGCCGCCGAGGCTGCCGGCGGGCCGGGGGGGCCGGCGGGCCGCGCTGGGGGCGGCGGCGGCGGCGGCGGCGGCGGGGGGGGCGGCGGCGGCGGCGCTGGGCGGGCTGTGGCTGTGGCTGTGGCGGCGGGCCGCGATGGCGGCGTCCGAGGAGGATGAGGATGAGGCGGCGGCGGAGGAGGAGCTGCGGCAGCCGTTCATGGCGCCGCCGGTGAGCGGGCTGCGGGAGCTGCGGCGGCGGCGGCGGGAGGTGCGGAGCCGCATGGAGCTGCTCATCATGGAGACGCAGGCGGAGGTGTGCCGCGCCCTGGCCGCGCTGGACCCCGCCGCCGCCTTCGCCGTCGACACCTGGGAGAGGGAAGAAGGTACCGGAGGGCGGGCGGGGGGTGTGCGTGGCGGGGGGTGTGTGTGTCACCCCGGGTTCGGTCACGCCGGGGTGCGGCGGCCCCGGCGCGGCGTGACCCTGGCGTTTGGCAGGCGGCGGCGGGATCAGCTGCGTGCTGCAGGACGGCGAGGTCTTCGAGAAGGCGGGCGTGAACGTGTCCGTGGTGTTCGGGCTCCTGTCCGAGGAGGCGGCGCGGCAGATGCGAAGCAGGGGCAAGTCTCTGAAGGCCAAGGACGGTAAGGCGCCCGGCGGGGCGGTGGGGTCGGGACCCACTCGCCTCGGCAGGCCGGTGCGGGTGCCCGGGGAGCAGCCCGGCCTTCGGGCAGAACGTGAGGAGGGCCGGGCTGATCGCCGCTCCGGGGTCTCCCTTGGATCGTGGTGGCTTCTAACCAGTAAGTGTGGAGTTTGGACTTTATATCCCTAAGAAGCTGGGTACCAGCGTGCTTCTCCCGCTGTCTTCCTCCTTTAAGCAGCATGCTGTAGGCACAGGGTGTTCTTCAGTAACGGCACTGTAGCTCAGCAGTGAAACAGCACAGGAGTTACATACCAGAGAAGCAGGGGGAGAGACCCAAAAAGACCTGAAGGCTTGAGAGGATTCAACCCACGTTTGTGTAGCAAAGGGTAACTGGGAGGACTGGGGGTGCTGGAAAGCTTTGGCAGTGCCTTCCGTTTTAAGTGGTCTTTGTCTAATGGGTGCTCTAACTTATCGTTTCATTTTAGGACAACTACCAAAAAAAAAAAAAAAAAAGGCATTCAGTTTGGTGCACAGAAGTGTGTGGATGCCAAGTAAATTGCACACTGATTAATAATTATGGTGGCCTGACATGAGAAATTTTCTTGTAGCAGAACAGTAGCTTGGAACCTAAGGAAAAATAGCAGTGTTCCTTAAATGATAATAAATGAAGTTATATGAAAAACCGAAGGAGTTTTTTTTCTGTGCATCTTTTTATCTAGGGAAACTGCCTTTTTGCGCCATGGGTGTGAGCTCTGTTATCCATCCAAAGAACCCTCATGTTCCAACCATGCACTTCAACTACAGATACTTCGAAATCGAAGAAGCAGACGGTAAGAATTTCAGTCCGGTGAGGTACGTGTGAAATGTGTGACTCCACACGAAGGAAGCGGGAGCGCGTGGCTAGGGTAGGAGGTTAAGAACTGGTCCAGGCTTGTTCCCAGATCAAGGATCTCCATCTCGGGCCCTTCGTTTGCGCGTTTGTAAAATCAGTATGATGCATGCATCTGGTAGAGTAAGGGGGTTTGCAGTTTGCTTCTTGCAGAGTACACCAGGGATTTCAGATATAAGTTCAAATGTAGGAGGTTATAAATATATGTAAAACATATTCAAAGCAACAATTCTAGTCTTTAGTAGAAGAAGGATCTGAAGGACTGATAAGCATTCTGGTCAGGATGTACCTTTGTCTCTGAAGCTGGGGGGACGTACTGTCAAAAACATCGTGCTGGAAACTGCATTGTGCCTTTTTTCCCTGAGTTTCTGCAACTTGCTGCTGTCAGAAGCGGGACTCTGGGCTAGGCTGTCAAACACTGAGAGCCTGTCTGTACCTTGGGACAGTGTATGTACTGTTGCAAGCTCAAAGAGAGTTCTCTTTCAGTTATTTTGCCAGAGCTTCATGGATTATTTCTAGTCAGTTACTTCCCTGGATTTAATAAGGAGGTTCCCTTTCTTTGGCATGCAGTAAAATGTTTCTGGCTTCTTGAATAGGAGTTGCCAGCCCGTCTTGTGAAATTGATACCCTGTAGTCAAGGTCAGCAGTCTGAAATACTGAAGAAATGGTTTTCAGTGCTTTGAAATTTGCTTCATGTTTTCCTGGTCATCGTGCTACCTTCACCTCAAATTTTTCATGATTGATGTTTAGGAACGCCACCGACTAAGGGTTTTGTTTTGTATTGTAAAAGTAGTTGTTAGTTCTCGGTGAACCACTCGCAATGTATTTTTGTTCAGAAGTTTTGAAGAAAAATGCGGCTGCTTGCCTTTCCTTTATAGGAACTAAACAGTGGTGGTTTGGTGGTGGGACTGACCTCACTCCAACTTACTTGAATGAAGAGGATGCCATTCATTTTCACAAGACACTGAAAGAAGCCTGCGACAAGCATGATCTGAAGCTGTATCCCAAGTACAAGAAATGGTATGTGGGGAGCGATGTGCTTGGGCTCCTTCCGTGGGAGCGGGAGGCGGCACTGGATATTGCTGGTTAAGTGTAGTCTAGGAAAAGTAGGTTCTGCTGCCTTTAGAAAAGTATCAGCATATCCTAATGAAAATCAGCAAATGTGCACTGAGACAAAGCAATCTTGTCTAAAACAATCACTTATTTATAGAGGCCTGAGTTTTTCAAATCAGAGGACTGACAGCTAGGATCATAAGAAACCAAGCTGACTCTACAAGGTTTTGCAAGCCACAGACTTCACTAGAAAACTTAAAAATTCATTTTAGCTTCTGGTGTTAAACTGGGACAAGACTTTTGCACCTTGGACTTGCACTAATTATGCTTACAATGAACTCATGGTAAATGTGTATGACTTTAGTGTGAGCTCTTGTGCCAGCGCTGCAGTTCTTAAAATCCCACTCTAGTTTTTCTGCTTTCAGTCTGACCTTCACTACTTTTTTTTTTTTTTTTTTTGCCAGGTAGGTAAAGGAGCTTGTCTTCAATGTAGAAGCTTCATAGTTTTGATGAAGCTGTACTTTTTTTCCAGTGACACGTTCACTGAGTTCAACAGCATATTCTCTAAAGATGCAAACTCTGAATGTTGTTCTTGAGCTGAGAGATACAGGTGATGGGATCCTTCACTGGTCAGTGAGGGCTTGGTGCTCTGTGTTTGATAATCCTATCTGCTGCAGGCTGTAGTATCCAGGAAGGTGGGGTTACCCTTTTGTAAGATACCATGCCTTGTCTGAGGACAAGAGATAAAGTGGGTGTTGTAGCTGTGGTGTGAAGCACTAAGTGGAGAAGCACGTCTTACAACTTTAAGACTCTACAGTCTTGTTCTCTGAGGTATTTTTGCATGGTAGTTCAGAGTGTCTGCCTTAAGGGTCAGGTTGTTTGCCCTGTAAGTAGGCTGGCAATGCCAGCTGCAAGGGATTGGAGAGAAGGAAGCCTGTGCTTAGTCTGAGGGCAGCTCAGGGGAGGACTGATTGTATTGTGTGGACAAAAGCAGTTTTTTCAGTCCCAGCAAGGGTGTTTGCTATAGGCAGCAGCTGTGTAGGGGCATGTGGTTCACACTGACAGAGCAGTGTCAATCTCCTCTCAGCTTTAATAATTAGTGTTACCCCTTTTCCCACCTTTCTCAAACATAAAAGCTCTTCTTAGTGTTTGTCACGCTGTCTTCCTGATCTAACTTTAAGGCTTTTGTCAGGCTTGTTCTCTTTTGCATTTCAGACTCAACCTTTTTTCCTAATTCTTCCTGCTGCCATAAAATAAAAAAGCTGATCATCCTACTGAATAAACATATAGCTTAGGTTATCTGTTGCATCTCTCCGTCTCTCCTGCTATGGCCGTGCCATTTATATTGCTTGAGAACAGTGACTGTGGATGGATACACGTATGGAAAACTAGACCTAAAGGAAGGCAAAGTTTCCTTGCTTATTGATGTTTTCTACTTCCCTTCCATTTCTTCACCTATGAAGACTTGCAGGGCATGACTGCCCAAACCAGCAACTATAAGCAAGGTAGGGTGTGGATACAGTAAATCAGCTGACTTATAGTAATTGCTCACCTACATACTCCCAGTAAATACAAGAGAATAACTGCCTTCCTATTGTAGGGTAAGAATAACTCCATCTTTCACTATTCCAACTATTAAAACCCCTTTTTCCAAGGAAGGTTGCCTCACTTTTGACTTTTCCTTAAGTGACGGTGGCTTTCTTATGTGGTCTTGGGTTTTTAGATTATTTTGATGCAGAAAATCAGTTATTTTACTAGAATGGCAAAAAGAATAAAGAGATTCTCTTCCAACTATTTTGAGTTCATCAGAGAGCCATACAAATAACTTGGGATCTACATATAATTCTGGTAATGAAATCTAGAAAGAGCTCTTAGGATGAAGATTTGAAATCAAACGTCCCTCCTCTGCATGGATTGGATCACTCCACATGGAAGCATCTGCCATGGTGTGTGAGTGTTGCATGTTCAGTGACTGTGTGGTGATACGTAGCTTTGCAGAGACTGTTTAATCAGAGCTTTTACTGTAGGTGAATGCAGGCACAATTTCCAGCTGGTGCTGTACCATCCTGGCTCTCAGCAGTCAGTGAAACAGTGGGGCACCTGGCACTGCAGGAACTGACTTCTCATGGATATTTCATTAGTGCCATCCTGTGCCATGTAGCTGTTTGGAGTTGTGTTAATTTATTTGAATATTTTGTTAATAATTGCCTGCCGCTTCTTCTAGGTGTGATGACTACTTCTATATCAAGCACCGTGGCGAGCGAAGAGGGATTGGAGGCATATTCTTTGACGACTTGAACTCTCCCTCCAAGGAGGAGGTATTCCAGTTTGTGAAGAGTTGTGCCAAAGCTGTTGTGCCTTGTTACGTTCCCATTGTGAAAAGGCACTGCCATGACTCCTTCACACCAGAGGAAAAGCTATGGCAGCAGCTTCGGAGAGGACGGTGAGTACTGAAGAAGCAAAAGAATACATGGGAGGTGGATTACGCTGGCGAGAAAAAACGAGCTAGCTCTTCATGGTTGCAGACTTACGTCCTGTTGTGGTGTGGGCTAAAGTTTGCCAGAGAGCTCTAAAGCTCACTTGAGAATTTCAACATTTTTGAGCACAGAACTAATTTTGAAATCCAATGCTAGATTGCCAGGGAGGGTGCAAAGAAGGTACTAGCACACCCTCATCTATATCTCCCACTCTGCCATGTTGCAGCACAAGCAACCCATACAAAATGTCACAGTTTCTCTCCAACTCCTTCAAAACTCAAGAGAAGCTGCTGCTTTGTAACAGGAAAAGGGGGGGTGTGTGTATGTGCGCGTGCTTAGTGTCCTGAACCATGCTCTCTCCTGCAGTCCAGAGATACAGGGTATAGGATTGCCCTGTGACATGAGCACAGGGTGAGGAAGTCACATGTCCTATTCAATAATGAAGCTAAACCCCAGAAAATCATGAAATAACTGTACCCAAGAGCACTTTCAGCTTCTTGCATATATGCTTATTCCAGCTGATCTTGGCATTGAAACGAGGACGTAGTAAACTTTTTGTAAATGAATAAGATATAGAGGGTTTTTGGTTTTCTGGTACAGTCCAGAATCACTGTAACTTAAAAGGTTTTGGAGGATGTTTATTAATGTGAATGACTGCTAATGCTGCAAAAGCTGAAGTACATTGGTAGATACAACTGTACTTCTCTCTATGTCTTGTGATTGTGTCAGCTAGAGTCTTTAGTTTCTGCCTCTTCTGCAGAGAAATCTGTGACAGTGGCATGCTGTTTACATGCCCTTCGGCATGGAGTATTGCACAGTAGAATTTTTCCTGTGTCAATTCCAGTTCCTTTAAGGCTCCTTTTAATGTCTGACACCACCACACAAAAGAGTGCTAGCATAATCGAGCTAAATTTGGGTGTCGAGCTTGCCAGCAGGGTTAAGGCCTGGGACAAATAACCTAGTATAGTACCATGCAAAATGTTCTCCTTTGAATAGTTTGTCTGCTCTTGTCTGTTAGCTAAGGTCATTACTACCTATGCTTTATGAAGTGGCAAGGTCACACTCACACCTGCATTCCTATGCAAAGGGTGCTAGAGAATGGTTGGCCCCAAAACAGGGTTCATTCTGACACCCAACGCAGCGGAAAGAGACAGTTTAGTTTTGTTTGCTAGTTGAAGAAGGCACAACCAGCTTCTGATAATAAACTTGTTTTTCTGTTGCATCTCTTCATTCCCCATAGGTATGTAGAGTTCAACTTGGTTTATGACAGAGGTACAAAGTTTGGCCTCCTGACACCAGGATCAAGAATTGAAAGCATTCTCATGTCTCTGCCACTGACTGCAAGGTAAGGGCATAGTTATGTGGAGTTGCAGGTAGGCACTGTTCTTAAAATACTTTATAGGATTAAATCCTGGTGTCCAGTCTCTTAACAGTGGTTTGTTCGTGCCTGATACAAGAACTGTCCAAATATATGCAGGTGCTTCCCTGGTCTGTTACACTTGTCCAGTTGCCAGTGGCCTAGATATTTTCTGTCAAAAAAAAAAGTGTTATTTTATTGTGCTTAGTACCTCTTGATAGATTTCCCCTCCTCGCTCCATGGGTTTTTGTTTAGTAGCTCTTTGAAACCATGTGAGCTTCTGGCAGTCCTGGCAAGTCTGTGGCAAGGAGTGCCACAGTTTAACTGTGTGCTCTACAGAAAAGTGCGTCTGTTTTCTACTTGCACCTGATGACTTCATTCGCCTTTTCAGTGAGTAACCAGATTATCTTCCTGTTCATTTTTGCCATAACGTTTCTTATTTTACAGGCTTCTCATTTTTTCATTGTCTGTTTTCGAGGCTGAAAGTCCCACTCTTTTTAGTCTTTGAACAGTATCTGTTCCACACCTTTGATCACATTTGCCACTTTCTCTAGGCTTAAGTTTTCTATGTGCTTTCTGAACTGGGGATGAGGAACAGACAACATAAGTTGCCTATGTGTATTCAAGATGCAAGTTGCTGCTGACTCATACAGTGGCATATAGTTCATTATTCCTTTCATAATCCTAATATGCTGTTTGTTGGTTTTGACTGCTGCTAAGCATTAAGCTGGATTTTTTCATAGAACTGTTACAATGCCGAGATCTTTTCTGGGCAATAAAAGTCATCTCAAGTCTCTCAATGTGTACGTAACTTTTTTCTGTGTGCATCACTTCAGACCAATCAACAGTGAATTTCACCTACCATTTTATTGCTCAGTTGCTTGGATTGATACTAACTCTTCTCAACTGCCTTTTTAGGTTTTAACCTATCTTGCTTAATCTTGCAGTATCAGCAAACTCTTGTCCTTCACTGTTTACTCCCCTTTTTAGGTTTCTTTTAGATATGCTGAGTAGCACAGGCCCTATTATGAATTCAGTAAACTTCACTAGCGACCTCTCTCCACTAGGAAAACTGACCTTTGCCTGCTACCCTTTAACCATGAAGGCAGTTCAGTTCTCACCATATAGCTTCATCCCACTGCCGACACTAGATGTGTCCCTGACGTTGTGGTGTAGCTTGGTCCTATCTTTTGATTTCATTGCTGGGATGATCTGGTTTTGCTTGTTCTCGTCAACGTAAGTAGCTCATTTCACATCATGAATGGGTCCTTCCTGGGGAAAAGAAAAATGAAAGAAGGTTGTACTCATCCCTTTGTAACTGATGATGCTTTTCTTCCTCTGTCACACCGCTTTCTATTTGTCTTTTCAATAAAAAGTGGTCTTTCACCACCTTGGTTTTTAAAAACAAGATTCAACAAGGATTTGTAAGGCTTCCAGTCCACCTTCTGGAAAAAATAGGTCTCGTGTCCCCACTGTCAAAATTGTCTGGGTTTCTTTTTTCGCTTGTCTTCCTCCTGATACTAGTGTGTCACAAGAGACTGCTAAAAGATCTTTGCAAATATACATGTGTATGTTCTGGGGTAGGGGGGCATGGCTCTTTACTGTTCTTCCAGCCTTTCCAGAAATTGGGAAGAAGATTGAGCTAACACTTCATCTGTCCATTATGGTGTTATTATTTGTTTTTACTGAACTTAATGATCTACAGCTGTATCTGTCACCTGATCCAAGAGTATCAACTGTGTACGCAGCTTTGCATCCTCAGAAAAGGCAACTCAAGTCCAAACACAGCCCAGTGTGGGAGAGGTGGCAGCCAGCCAGCCAGACTGAGTGAGTTTCCCCTCTCCCTGCAGGTGGGAGTACATGCACACCCCTCCAGAGAGCTCAAAAGAAGCAGAAATCCTGGAGGTTCTGCGCAATCCCAAAGACTGGGTGCACTGACAAGGATTGTGAACCAGATGGACTGCTAACACTGAGCCATTATGAAAGGACACGAACACCTGCAAACCAGCTCATTCAAACTACATGCTGTTTTAGTATAGCTATTTATACTCTTACCTGGTGCCTTAATGCTGTACAGTTGTTACAACTTGCAAATACGTGAAGTCATTTTTTAAGATTGATCAGCTAATGTTATCACTCACCCCCTGTTGATGTTGCCTTGTGACGAACTGGCAGTACCCTCATGGGACTACTGTGCATGCTTAAGAATTTCCTCAGATGATTTGTTTGACTGCAAAATGGCAAACTACTGTAAAGTGTTCTCCCAGTGGAGTGAAGGCATTATCTGTGCCTAAATAGCACTGCTTACTCTTAGAAAATGTTGGGATGCTTTAGAAATACTTTTTTTTTTTTTAAGAATAAAGGGAGTATTTGGTATGATTTTAAACCTTAAATTCTGCATGCAAGAAGTTGTGGAAAAGGTAGTACTTAATCATGTGTATTTTGATGCTATCCACAGTGACTTGGGGGTGGAAGGTTTTAGGATATGCCGCAGTAGCATGACTCAACTGATCAGTAACTGGATGATTCTGGGTTGGGATTCCCAGTCTCATGTGATGAGAGCAGCAGGCTGGCTGTCCATTCCGAGGGGAAAAATCTTCTCTTCCTGATCAAGACAGGCTAGCAGCCTGCTTCAGGCCAGCTGCTGTGCTAGGGAGGTCGGGGGCGCAGATCAGGAAGCTGCTGGGTGTTGCCCCGAGGGCCTCCACACAGCAGCGTATCAAGCAGCTCCCTGCCCTGGGGTGCTAGTTTTAAGCCGTGGAGAGATTCAAGATGGGGGGCGGTCCTGTCCCATCCTGTCTAAGGAAAAGGTAACACCACCTCTCCCCGTCGGGGAATCGAACCCCGGTCTCCCGCGTGACAGGCGGGGATACTCACCACTATACTAACGAGGAGTGGGACAGTGATCGCATTGGTTCCCGCCATGACGTGGTACGATGTCACCTCTGGTAGTTTTCCGGGCCGCGAGTGGCAGCTGCACCGGCACCCACGGAGGGTGGTCAGGCTTCCCACCAGGCCGGCCCACACTCGCTGCCCTCTGATCGCTGAAGTCAGGCTTCTCCTTGGGGGCTACCATGTTCATTTCCGTGTATTAATAAAAATTAAATATAATTTAATAATAATAAATATAATTTTAAAATAAAAAAATCCCATTCAGTAAAAAGCGTCACTCTGCTCGCTCCTCGCGGAAAAGAACTACCTGGCCCGTACGGGGATCGAACCCGCGACCTTGGCGTTATTAGCACCACGCTCTAACCAACTGAGCTAACCGGCCTGTGTGAAAGGGGCACCCACGTGCACGCAGCTCACACGCTCCCACGGACACGCCGCGGGTGGGACGCGCTGCCGGTGGGACCCGCTGAGGGGAGTTGCGTTCCCCGCAGCGTTACCGCGTCCACTCTTTTTAAACACCGCGCCGGGGGGTCGTCTTCAGGGAGCTCTGGCAGAGCAGCACCGGCATGAACCGGGGTGACGCGAATTGCTAAAACGGCGACTTCCAAAAACTCATTTTCCTCCGCACCCCCCTACCTCGGGCGGTGTCTACCGGTGGCACGGGGCATGCCGAAAGCCCCCCGAAACGACCCACCACTCTTCCCCCCCAGCCGCTCCCCAAAGCCCCCGCTCGCCTCTCTGCACCACGATGCCCACGTCGCGGACGGGGCACGGGCGCGGAGGAGGTGGAGCGTGGAGGGTAAAAGGCAACGCCTCCTCCCCGTCGGGGAATCGAACCCCGGTCTCCCGCGTGACAGGCGGGGATACTCACCACTATACTAACGAGGAGCGGGGTGGGGGTGGCGCGCCCCCCCCCGCCCGGCCCACCGGCGGCACAAAACGCGGGGGGGGGGGGGGGGGGGGGGGGGGGGGGGGGGGGGGGGCAGGACGGGTTCATCGCCTCAGGCTGCCGTGAGCCCTGTTTCCCACCGAGGTGAAACCAGCCGTCCTCAGCAAAGTGGGAACCCTTCCCCAGCTGGAAAACCAGTAAGATCGCTTGTAAAACCGAGGCATTACGCAAAAAAAAAAAAAAAAAAAAAAAAAAAAAAATGCACAAACCACGTTAAGAATTAAATACCGCTGAGCCTGTGAAAAAGTTGTAAAGGAAGAGGGCATCATCAAATTCCAAGCCCTTTGCCTTACAAACTGCGAGTGCTAAGCCGAGTTCCTCAGTTACCTTCTCCTCCACCACTTAATTTGCCACCACCACTGCCTGTCATAAAATACATTAACGAAAATAACATTAGGAAGCAAAAACACCCAGGTAATAGCTGCACAGAGAAAGCATACAATTATAGCGTGATAATGCAAGAGGGTCGTCAGAACCAGGCAACATTCAACACAGACATTTCTGCACTCCCTGCAGAAAAGGTTGCAAATCTGCCATTAGAAGAGAGACAAATGCACGGTGTGAGGAGACAGTCATAGACCCCCTGTCAGAAAATGTGGAGTTAGAAAGGAACAAGACAGGAGACATCTGATGCAACAAAGAACAGAAAGACCCAAATGTGTATGAAGAAAGAAACAGAAACCCACACGATAAAGGCTTGTAAATTGAAAAAGCTTAATTTAACACTGACATACAGAGGCTTAAAGAAAAATTAATTGTGGGCAGTCCACATAAAATAATTAGCTACAGACCTGGAAGAATCTGCAAAAAGCCACATACCTAAGAAAAGCAAACCTGGCATGCTCCAAATTCAATAGGTGGTGTTTTCCTTTGGTGGCCGCTCCACAGCACTGCTCGGTCACTAACACTGCGGGACTGCAGACTTTCATCCATCAAAGGCACAACAGCCCTCAGGAAACTGATCAAAAGATTCTGGTAAACAGTACTGAAGCAATACAACCACTCCAGATACCAGATGAAGAGTACCTGTGATAAGTAGAATATCGATTTTAAACTCCAGTCCATCTCATGCTCTCTCGCAAATGGACTTTTAAAGGATTTTGTTAGAATTCTGAGATCAAGAAACATCATAACAAAAAACACTACTGAGAGAAGAGAGAAGCTGTAAGGTCTACTTTATGTTTTTGCTATTGTGAGTAGACCTCATCTCACTGTAAACTAATTTCAGAATAATGAACTATTAAATTAAATGCACAGAACAGCACAATTCTACACTTTTGCATCATTTTTCCTGATTATAACAGCCAAGTAGTTTTGAACACTTGGATTAATCACAATGATTTTTGTGCATATTCTGGTGGTTCCTGACTGCAAAACACAGCAGTAAAAGTAACTGAAAGCACGCTGTTCCAGTAATATCAGCTGCAGAAGCAGGGAAGCGAAGGAAGGGTATGAGAGAACTAAAACTGTGTATTAGCATCAAACACTTTTTCTCAACAATTAAGTTGTGTGGAGAAATGGGAAGGCACTGTACCTTTCAAAAACAAAAGCAGTTTCAGAAATCCCTGAGCCATGTCATGGTTTAATCCCAGCCAGCAACTAAGCCCCACACAGCCGCTCACTCCTTCCACCGCAGTGGGATGGGGAAGAGAATCAGAGGAGTAAAAGTGAGAAAACTCATGGGTTGAGTTAAAGACAGTTTAATAGGTAAAGCAAAAGCTGTGAGCGCAAGGAAAGCAAAACGCGGAATTCACTCCCCACTCCCCACGGGCGGGCAGGGGCTCAGCCATCCCCAGGGCAGCCAGGCTCCATCGCATCTAACGGTGACTTGGGAAGGCAAATGCCATCACTTCGAATGTCTCCCCTTCCTCCTTCCCCCAGCTTTTTACTGCTGAGCACAGCACCATATGGTGTGGAATATCCCCGTGGTCAGTTGGTGTGAGGGACTGTGTCCCCTCCCAACTTCTTGTGCACCCGCAGCCCGCTCACTGGTGGGGCGGTCTGAGAAGCAGAAAAGGCCTTGGCTCTGTGTGAGCACTGCTCAGCAGTAACAAAAACATCTCTCTTATCAACACTGTTTTCAGCACAAATCCAAAACAGAGCCCATACTAGCTACTGTGGAGAAAATTAACTCTATCCCAGACAAAACCAGCAAAGATGTGCTCCATTTTCAAACCTGCAGAAGGGGCTGAAGTGTTGAAGAACAGCCAGGAGAGAAGCTCTATCACCTACGATTCTGCTTCCATTTTCCACTGCAAAACATACACCCTTTGCCATCGTACCCTGGGCTGAAAATTGTAGTAGTTCACAAGTTGCTCTGCATGCAGACAGGACACTGCTGCCTTGCAGTCAAACTGTTGCTCAGGATTTTTAGGGTAGATGACTAAGAACAGTAACATTTTCAAGATACAATTTTAATCAGATGCCCTAAGCTTGTCTGAATCCTCACTGACATTTAAGAAATACAGACATAAAATAATTTGTCCTCTTAGAAACAAAACAAACACACAAACCCCCACACACAAACCAAAATGACACCCACAAGATTAAGAAATACTTAAATAGTTGACAGTGGCAGATTTTAAATGATGTCCTAAAAAATGCCCTTAAATTAAAACTGAAAGACTTAGCATGACTTTCCCAAAAGCTTTGAAGAATTTAAGTACATCAAAGGCCAAACAAAATAGTAGCTTTGCCCTTTAGTGCAGAGACAGACAGGGTTGGTCACCTTTTTAGGGACTAGGATTAATCCCAGACTTTTATCCATAAAGCAGTGGCTTGTTCTTGTCTTAGTTTTGCACTAAGCCTGGAAAACATTCAAGGGCTGTGCACTGAAAAAAAAAAAAAACTTGACCACCAAAGACATTCTGAGCTACTGAGAACACCAACCAAGGCAATTCCCACCCCAGGGGATCAGCGTTAACAACCTAACTGAGAACCACTGGGATAAGACCCTTTGCAGAGCAGGAGATGGCTCAGTAAAGGACGAGTAGCTGGGAATTTGCATGCCAGGAGCCAGAAGATGCAACTGCAGTGAAACACAGTGATTTCCAGTAATCCTGCTTGATACATCAGTTTCCAGAATGGAAAATCACAAAGAACAGACATGTCAGAATCCTTCTGAGAACTGATAGGCTATTTTATATATATATATATATATATATATATATATATATATATATATGTAAAAAGACTGGAAACCAGTTTATTACATCAGTTCATGAAATTTCATGTCAGCACTGGGACAAACAAGATTTGTGTCTTTATGCAAGACAAAGGCTTCTTAAAATGCACTTTGAAGTTTGCTCATACTTTCAGAATGTAAATAGATTCTAGCCCTTATGTTTGGTTAGGAGAGGGTCTATTGGTTTTAGTCCAATACTCTACACTGCTACTCTTTCCCCTTACGACATGAAGAGGTTCAAATTTTGCAAGCAATACAGGAGTTTTAGGTGCATATTGCCACATAGATCAAAGATGTCTAAAACAAAGCTAAGGAAATACATGAAATTATACGCTCTTTCTAAAGAAACATTACTGAATTC